GAGCCATATCAATAATCCCCAAAAAGCAGTGGGACCTGTTAACAACGCGATGTGCTCAGCTCTGAGCCCTGTTTTTCTTGCCAGTCACTAGTCACGATTGCGAGAGAAAGCGATTCATATTCGGCAACGTCTGGTCCAACTGATCCAAAGCGTTCCCTCGCGCCCGGATCGGGGGGCGAGGGGCCGAAGGGGAAAGGGAAGCGGTGGGGAGTGAACGGAGATTGGGGGCGGGGATGTACAGTACCACTCCCGAAAAGCATGATTTGGTAAAAAAAAGATAATTTGGGAACTCAGTTCTCGTTGCTCCTATGAAAGTATGCCGCTGAGGAAAACCAAGTGCGGACACTTGGTACACGTGTCCGAGTTATACGCTCTCTCTGGTGCTTATCAGATTACCAAATACTTCGTCGTCGACAATCGCTCATTTTATCAGGTCGAGCTCAAAGGAGACATTCTGTTCCAAAATCTAACCGAATTGGACTGTTCCCTCCGTCATATGTATCTTGTGCGGACCTGAGCTGGGCAGCGTCAATCTGATGGACTCCGACTGCTCTCTACCCACGTCACGTTCATACTGCCGGTGCCGTATTGGCGAGCCAACCGATCCCGATTTGTCGAATTCACCTGACATGTGCACGATCTCGTCGTTCAAGACATCCTGGCCTCCCGGGACCGTTGGCAACGCACCACCAGCCGCCCCGTCATCCAACGTGGCCCTGATAATGCGCCACCTAGTAGAGCTGTTGTGAAGGCGCTTATCTTGGTAGCCCGGCAGTGCAACCAAATTTGTAGAGGCCCACTTGTACCTAAAGTTGTCTTCCCGTGGATTCGTAAATTAACCTCTACAGTAGTATGTGCGAAGTTGAAATACTATCCCCTGAACTGTATTCGCCCCTGAAGAGTTTGGTAATTTTACCTGGCAAAGGACGTCCGCAAGGGAATACGCTACGATACTGTAGTCATAGAAACTGCCGGGTCAAAACCTACAAACTAGAAGTAGAAACAACATAGAAACAAAATAAGAAACAAAACAAAACAGCATAAAGAAACAAAACAAAGAAGTAGACATGTGAGAAAGACTCGGAGAGCGACGAGATCAAGGGCGGGGGGGTGGGAGAGAAATAGACATGCCGAGGGGTCGGCGGTGGGTGGGGGGTGCGGCCCCGCGAGCTCAAGTAGAGTACAGCTCTGGGTTGCACCGCCTGGCGACGCTCGGCATACTGATAGAGACGCTCGCTACTTTCCGGCTGAGTCTTCACCCGCATACACACACGTGTACACGGACGCGAAGGGCCAAAGGGGGTTACGGAGAGGGCGCTGGCGGCGGGGCGCGGCGCAGGTGTCCAAAGAACCACCCCGACAGCGAGGTGAGGACGATTCGACTGTCGAAATAAACCACAAACATCTCAGAGCCCCAGTCCATGCGCACTATCACCCACTCCCGAGTGTACTGCAGGTTCAACAGCTCGTTGAAGCCCCCAATCCGGGGGCTATGGGAGACGTAGTACAAACCGTCCGGGGCGGTGGTGCCCACGAGCGCAAGAGCACGGGAGACGCCAAGTGCGAGGTCGGCAGCGCCAAGCGGCGTGCCTGCGCGAAGGTTAAAGAAACCCCCGCTCGGGGGGCGTAGCGATCGCCAACGATGGAGGAGAGCGGGAGGACCTGCAGCATCGCCCCAGTCGGGATTAGCAGGGTAGGCGAGGTAGAGCGGGCGAAGCTTGGCGCCTTTGCGATGGGTCAGCAACGCCGTGAGTCCCCCGGATGGCCCGTCATGGAATCGAAGGTCTCTCTCCTTGACGTGCGCCACGGAGATCGAGCGGCACTGAAAGATGTAGGAAAAAATAGCCATCGCGCAGCAGCCCACCTCCTCCACATCCGAGCTGGACAACCCGAATTCCAGGACCCGCTCCGTCACATCGCCGGGATCCCAAGTTCGCGAGAGCGCGTCCGCAAAACGATTGACCGCAGACGGATCCAGCGCGCGTCCAGCTTGACGTTGAGGGCTCGCAGGAGGGCCTCCAGTCGTCGTAACTCCACCATCATTTCCTAGGAAGCCGAGACCATAGCGTTCAAGATGTAGACGACGGCTTGATTGTCCTCGTGTAACAACACCTTGCGGACGCAGGGCCTTGACACGTAGGCGGCAAAGTGTCGGTGGAGGAGGAGACGGACTGCTCGAAGCTTGCGTAAAGTAATCGAGCGCGCTCTGTCGGTCTCGCTCCAGAAACCTTGACACGCCCACAAACCTGACGCCTTGTCGCTCGTCCTTTCCCAACGTGCTAGCATATCCGACGTCGGCGGCATCGCTGTGCATTGTGAGATCCACTCCTGACGGCACTAAGTCGCGTCCCTCGCCCCTGGTCAATGCACGCCAATAGCGCAGGTCGCGCAGCGACTGGCGGCAGAGCCGCACCTTGAAACCCTTCGGCAGCGCCTTGGGCGCGCGCGGCGCGCGCGCCGCTCGCGCTTCGTCAACCCAAACGAAGTCCCCAGTATTGCGCCTGGAGCTCGCAAGCTCGCTCCGCGACGCTATCTGGTGACTTTGCTCTCGATCCTCGCGCTCCGCGCACCTCCTTTCCGCTAAGCTCATCGCAAAGTAGAGGGAACGCGTGTAGAAGCGTGCCAATGGGAGGGCGAGAGTCAGCGAGACACAGACACCACAAAAGTGGCGAAGTAGAGCGAGAGGGACGAGACAGCGGTTGCGCTGCGCGAGCAGCAGCAATTTCTTGGCGAGAGCACGCACACGGGTAACGTTCTTGTCCGAGACCAAAACACGCATCGCAACCGTATCCAGATGCATTCCAAGGTAATCCAATCGCTGCGGCCCTTCCCAACAGCCCTTGTATGGGTGCCTCACCAGACCCAGCCGACCAAAAAGTGCATTCAGCTTCTTCCCCGCCTTCGCACAGTCCCTTCTCGTAGCCCTCACGCCGTGCGGCGCCGGGGCCGCCAGAAAATCGTCAATGTACGGCAGAACGCGGTAGCGCATCTTCGATCTGAGATACTGTACGAGAGGCCTCAGTAGCTCCGTAAACCAAAGTACCGAGCGCCCCGAGCCAAACGGTAGGGCAATACATCGGTAGTACCTCCCCTCGTATCGAAAGAGGAAGAAGTCGCGGATGTCGGGGTGCAGGTAGAAATGCCTGTACCCACTCTTGAAGTCCCACGACATGAAATGGTCCCCCTTCTGCAAGTCTACGGCGAACGACGGCAGTGTCTCCATCCGAATGCTCCCGCGCGGCCAATGCTGGCTCTGCCTGTGGAAGTTCACAACGAACCGCCCTTTGCGGTCCTCGTCCTCCCCCTGCCAGACCACGAATGCCGATGACACCATCTTCCCCTCCCCGACCAACCTCTCGATCTCCCGATGCCCGACCTCCTCGTAGACTCCATTCTGGCATCCTTGTGCCAAGTCTTCTCGGGCGAAGCACTTGTCTTCCTCCGACTGGGGGGTTTCTCCGAGAATGGTCCCTTCCGTGAACGGGACAGACGGAAGGTCCCGAATCCCATACTTTATGGCGCGAGCCACAAAGTCCGACGCTCCAAGGACCGACTGCCACGTGTCGGCCCTGAGAGACGTTCTCCTCCACAAAGGCTGTCCCCCGGCTGCCTTTGCGGTCTCTGGACCCTTCGGTCCCATCAAGACTTATCGGCAGACCCAGTCGGTCCGCCTGTCTGGCCTTGGCCCCTGGTGCGCTCAAGACGCGCCTCTGCGAGCTGCTTGGCAGTCTGGATCTCGAGTTTGGACGTGAGAGCCTCGCGCACCGACCGATAAGACTCGGAAAACACGGCCTTGTGCCCTTGCTCGACCATAAACGACATCTGCCGTGCCATTTCGACCCCCTGTTCCGTTATGTCCCGGAAGTACTGGGCTCGCATCGACACGACCTCTAATACAGCCTTGAACGAACCCTCGGCCAAGGCCAGACGGCGTCCTATATCCTCGATTGTTCCTTCTTGTCCTTTCGCTACCTCCAGCGCGGCCAAACCTAGCTCAGTCCACACGCCTATAGCGTTCAGATATTCCCATTCCTTTGCGGACCGTCGGTCCTTCGACTTCAGGTCTGCGAGGAAGGCGTCCGCGGGGGGTTTGGAGTAACCCATATGGCTTACTGGCACATACGGCCCCCGCTCGAAGACGCTCCCTTCTCCTACCAACTTCAGCGAGTTCAGCTCAGTGACCACCTCCCCGTAGTCACGGCGCTCCGGTTTCAAGGTCGCCCATGCGATCCGAAGCGCGGCGCCCGCCGCAGCGGGCGTCGGCGGGTCAACTGCTTCGTCGGCCATACTCGCTAGTGGCACGCTGTATGTGCCACACAGAATCGTCTCCGCCCTAGTGAAAGGGGATATTTCTGTTTAGGAGAGAGAAATAGACATGCCGAGGGGTCGGCGGTGGGCGGTGCGGCCCCGCGAGCTCAAGTAGAGTACAGCTCTGGGTTGCACCGCCTGGCGACGCTCGGCATACTGATAGAGACGCTCGCTACTTTCCGGCTGAGTCTTCACCCGCATACACACACGTGTACACGGACGCGAATAGAGGCGAAAATATTAAACTGGCCAGAGCTCATTAGCCCTGAGCGGAATTTTGTAGACGGTTCTTTTGCGGCCCACTAGGGTCAAATTACCATGACTTCTCCAAATGTCGTACTTAAGGGACGAAAAGTAGTTCACTGGAAAGCTCTCCTTGTCCTGAGTCTGACGGTATGACAAACTTGTGGTAGAGATAAGAACAGATGGAGATGCGCCTGATTGAGTAAACTAATTTGGTCCGCTGAAAATATCGAACCCAAAAGTATACAAAAGTATATTTTCAGTGTTCGAACACCGTCAACAAAAAAGTGTACCTTCACACAAAAAAATGTGATCGTCTACAAACAGTGAGACGTCTACAACTTAATATTCATCTTATAGACAGACCGTTGCCT